TTTTTTTTTTTTTTTTTTTTTTTTTTTTTTTTTTTTTTTTTTTTTAATACCACAATTCCTTAACTGCACTAAACAATAAATGCCAATTGAATTAAGGATTAGTTTTTGTTTCGAGAGTCTTGTCGTTCGATGCAAAATAAAAACAAAAAAAATTTATATATTATTCAGTGTTACTTAAATGTATATTCGAGAATAAGTGTCTGTTCAAAATCAAGCCAATGTTAAAAATGTATATTCAAATAAGCTAAATTTTTGGATTTTTTTTATTTGTTTTCTTGCTGCCTCCCTGTAAAATACACGAAATAATGAACAAGGGCGGCTTTAACGATGATTAAAATCGTAAAAATAGTAATTAAATAAATAATTTGATGAAATTATTAAAATTTACTGCATAAACTCCGCGATATTTCGATGCTTACTTGACATCATTTTTTATATTATGCATTATATTAAAAATAAATGACTATAATCACAAAAATTATAGAAAAATCAATTTTATATATTTAATCATCTTATATAAGACTGCTGTTAATTTTATTTTTATTTTTTTTTTCATTTTTTGTTTTTTTTTTTTTTTTCGTTTTTATTCATAGATACTTGTATAATAAATGTATTTTTTTTTTTTTCCAAAATTATAGATAATGTGTATTTATTAAAATTATAATATATGAAATACGAAATAAAATGCGATTGTATATGTGTACTCAAGTAAAGACATAAAGGACATAAAGCGTATAATGAATAAAAGTGAAATAAAAAAATAACACAAATAATAAAAGAAAAGTTTTATATTGCAAAAGATAAAACTGGCCTACCGTGTACGCATGATTCGTTCTTGTATATTTAATCAGCGGCTTACTTGACTCAATGCGACTGGATTTAATCGCAGTAAAATTGAAATAAGTTTTTCTTTAAAAAAGGAGGATATAACAAAAAAAAAACGAAAAAAAAGGAATAAATTAATAAACATCAGGAACTTTAAATTTAAAAATAACCGAAAAATGTATTTAGTTGTAAGGGGGAAAACAAAAGAACATGCAAATAGAACTTAATAAAAACATATTTAGTAAAGATGTATTACTTTTTGCTTTATGTGATCTACTCTATATATATATATATATATGTATGTATATATATATACATAATATACGTACACATATACTTAAATATGTCTATATACTGTGCGAATTACATGATAAATAAATTTCTTCTAATGAAGAAAAAACTCTTGCAATTTCTTTCTTCTATCTTTAAAATTTATTGATGAGAGCAGATGTCTCTAGGTGCTTGCTGACGTGAAGGCTTAGCCCCACGGTGCCCGATAGCACACAGAGTGTGAAAACGCACACTCAGCGCCCCGAGAAAAACCTCGAGTTCCAGTTAAGATACGTATATGGGCGTATCTTCCCAGAATGGTGATATAATTTCCAAAACGACGGAACGAATTGTAACTAACAAAAACATTTCCGCAACAAAGTATGGTACTTTATAAACTTTACTTTATATACTTAATAAACGAATTAGAATATATTTTTTTACTTTATTACTTATATGCATAATTTGAAAAGTGTTTTGTTATTTTTAATATCAATTTATCCTATGCAATGAACGATGATTTATAACCATCTGTAAGGGCATTTCGTACGATTTATTTATTGCTTCGGTTGTAAAAGTGAAGGAAAGACATAAAGTACACATAATTACTATGGCTGCTCCTCGTTTCGTGTTAAAATTCGAAGGCAAATAAAATTGTAGAAAAATCGAGATTTGATTGATGAAAGGTCGTGCTAATCTAAAAAAAAAAAGAAGTGTTATAACCTTAATAGGCAACAAAAAAATAAGCTGCAATTGTAGCTGAGATAAATATTTACCAAGGCAATGTATAATGCGGTAAAATAGGACAACTAAACATCTTTGCTAACCATCGTTTGTTAAATGCCCACAATTCTCGTTAATATAAATTTCATATTTGTTTTCTTTAGCATTCTATTTTTTTGACGCCAAGACCGCAATATATGTATTAATCTTCTCCAATAATTGCCGATTGCTAGTAGTATTCGCTTTTTGTTGTAACATGTACAAGGTGTTGAAATCTTTTTGATCGTAAGCCGTATCAGCAGCTTCATCGTATAGCCTAAAATCATTTACACATATTATTGTTATATTAAAAAACTAAATTAATAAATTAGAACATACCCTGCCCTTATATACCAATACGATTTACGATCTTCGCGACATTTAAGTATATATTTGCGGGCTTCCGTTAAATTGTTTTGTTTTAGGCAAACCTCAACAAACGGTTCGTATCCTATTGGACTTTTCTTGCTTTTCGAAAATTTCTCTAAATCATCCCACTTGTATTTGTTAGATAAACTTATAATACGTAACCACCAAAATCTTATCAAGAAAAAGCAAAAAAAATTATTAAATGCATAAAATAATATTTTTACCTTAATTTTCAGCATTTTCACCTTCTTTCTGGCACTTTAAAATCGTTTTTCACTTTCTCAGCTTCTTTCATTTCTCCCAATTCTAATAATTTCTCTATTGTACTATGTACAGATAAGCGATAAAATGGAATGTTGCCATAAATGCTGGTATATTTGTTGGTTAAAGCTTTTTGCAATTTCATTAATTTATTAGTATCTGAGCAAAGTTCTGCTTCAACATTCCGACGACCTTGAGTATAACTATTAGCTATAATAGGTAGATTTGATTCAAGACTATCGCTTTCTAAAGCATTCTTAAAATGATATTCTGCGATAGATTTGTGATCATCTTCGGTGTTATAAATATCATATAAAGCGGTACGGCTCCACTCGTTCATGATTTTCTTATAAATATTCAAAGCCATGGGATATTCTCGTATTATCATCTGAAAGAAGAGAAATATAACCTAAATATTTTATTACCTTTGACTTAATATAAATAAGATAATTACATGAAAGTTAGTGAGCATCATTTTCTTTTTAATTTCTATTAAAATGGATGCCACCAATTCCGTGTCTCCTGACTGAGTTGCACTTTGCACAGCTCGATCATATTTTCCCAATTTAAGCAGAAGCGGTATTTGCAAAAAGGCTCTAGGCTCCAGCTCTAGCAACTAAAATGTACAGTTTGTTTTGGTGTTTTATAAAATGATGTAATTTTATAAAATAATGTAATTGCACACCTTAATAGCTAATTCATCGCGGCCGGCTGCATAAGCTTTTTCGGCAATATTACAAAACGATATACCTTCGATCGATGGATTCTTAAATTTTTCCGTAATTTTTCTGGCCACTTCATTATCATCTAAATACATCAGATATATTCTATTAGTAAATTAAAAATTTATATAAAATTTGTTGAAATATTTTTTACTTTTGTCGTTCATCACTTTATGAAAAGCCCAGTGCTCCAAAATCCATGATTCCGGAAGCTTTAAATGTTTGGCTATCTGAATGGCAATGGCATAGTGTTTTCGAAATACTAGTCGTGCCAAAATAACTTCAGGTTTTAAATGCTGAAATCTATAAAAAAAAAAGAATATTGATTCAGTCGTTTCGGCGCTTTTCGTTTTTTTTTTGTTTCTATTGATAGTTACTGTTTAATTGTTAAAGGCATAGCGATTCTCGGATGTCGTAAAGTATTTAAAACTCTTAAAATACGTAACATTTGTACGTGCTTGTCCGGATTGTGAGATGCTATAAAACCTTTGCCAAAGTAAGACGTCTATAAAGATATTTTTTTTAATTGCATTTATCATTATTACGAAATGAGTACTTGGAAACTGTATACCCGCATTAAACTTTTCTGAGTTGTAGTGCAAAATTCGTAACCAGCCGCCTCTATGCATTCATCCACTGCCGCATCCACACGATCTCGGCATAAACTTAAATATTCATCGGCTCGATAGGATTTCTCTTGAAACTTTTTCTGAGCTTCAAACAAAAAGCTTGATGGCTCTTGACTGTTGATTGCAAATATGTTTTGAACGCATTTCGGCAACTTTTGTACCATTTCATGGGAATTATGAGTTAAAATCCGTACTCCGTCCATTTCCGACACCAAATATATCGCGTTATCGTAAGTGAAAAGATTTTTGTCGCCATTCCTATTTACCACCAATAAAAATGAAGTGTAAGCGATTACAACAGCATCCGAACCTGTTTTATCCGCATTCATAATCCATTCGATTTGTTTTGGAATATCTTTGCGACCAGTATCAAATTCGCAATATTTTTCCTTCATATCAACACTGCCCATCCATAATATACCCGTATTAGTGTATAGGGCCAAATTTTGATGATCATATGATACTGCAATGAGCAGAATGCGTTCAAAAGATTTATCTATTAAATTTCGCGTAATAGATCCCAGGGATTCTCCAGGAAATAATTTAATTATTTCCCGGTCGCGTCCTAACAAACAATAACTATTACGGTCCTCGGTAACTAATTCCCAACATGTACATTCAGCAGACGATTCTTAAGCAAAACGAAATCAAATTGATTTCTTTCTATTTAAATACTATTCAGTTAACCTACTTGGCATTTCGGGTAATAAACGCGAACGAAAATCTTTGGTATTATTGTGCTTTAGGAAAATACGACCATTTGTGGTCATTACAGCTACCCCAGTTCCTGTAGATGATTGAAAAATTTTTGCATCCAAAACTTTGGTTAGACTGGCTTCTTGGCCCATACTATACGATTCTTTCTCTTGACCAAATATATCATAAATAAATACTAAAGCATCGTCCTGTACACATATCAGTTCTTCCATATCTGACCAACCCATAGAAATGAGTTTTCCGTGATTCCACTAGTTCGTGGAGAAAATTTTACTAACAAAATAGGAAGTTCTCTTAACGTATTTACCCATATTTTGCTTAGCTCTTGTCCAGCTGTATCGAATATGCGGATTACTGGTTTCGCAGTGCCTTTAATGGGTACTATTTGCTGAGGATCACGAGTGACGGCTATTGGGCCGCCATATGGCGCACACACAACTTTCATATATTCCAAATCCAGATCTATAGGCCAATCAGGTGTATGTAAATCAAACTTTCTAGTATTTTTAAAAAAATGCAAGAATAGTTGACAAGTATTATTACATATTTTTATTAACTATTTACCGGTAAGTATTTGGTTGTAAAGTAAACCAATCTCCCGTATTATACATGATCGGCATTTTGTTTCTGTTTGCGAAAATCTTACAGAGAAATTCTATCGAAATTAAAGACTGAAATTAAAAACTGAGACAACAGCTGATTAACACTAATAATAATTATCACTGTGTGTTTTGCAGGATACAAAAAAGTACAACGATGTAAATGTAATGCTGAATGAATGAAAATTTTGCATTGACATTACAAGAAGAACGTAACGAAGAGGTAAAATGCAAAAAATTATTGAAGTCAACAATTTGTTCGTTTGTACGTTTTGACACGTTTCGCATTTTTTACAGTGAGGAATTTTTATTTATTTGTACTCATTTTTGTGAAAAAAGTGCTTTTCGTAATCAATTCGTTCAAGACGAGAATTATGAACGATACAGAAAATGCTGTGGCCGAAGGCGTGGATGCCTTAACCTTAAATAAAGATAACGATGTAACGGTAGCTACAGAAGCTACTGTAAATGAAGAGCAAGAGGATATTGTAAATCCGTGGCATGTAACTAGCATGAATGAGGCTGGTATCGACTATGACAAATTAATAAGTTGGTCGTGAATGTCATCTGGTGAGATGGACATAATTTATGAAAAATTATTCTTACAGAACGTTTTGGATCTTCTAAAATTGATGAAGAGCTTATAACCCGTTTCGAAAAACTAACCGGCAAACCTGCTCACCATTTCATACGACGGGGCATATTTTTCTCTCATCGTGATTTGCATACAATTTTGAACTTAAAAGAACAGCAAAAGCCCTTTTACTTGTATACCGGACGAGGTCCCAGTTCGGAATCCCTGCACTTGGGCCACCTAATACCCTTTATTATGACAAAGTGTGTATGCAATTACATTTTTCAATCCACTTACATTTTACACTTTACATATTTCTTTAGATGGCTGCAGGAAACTTTTAATGTACCCTTGGTTATTCAACTGACCGATGATGAGAAGACTTTGTGGAAGGACTTAAAAGTTGATGAAGCTATTCAACTAGCTCGGGAAAATGCTAAAGATATTGTGGCTATGGGCTTTAATGTTGAGAAAACATTCATCTTTAACAATCTAACATTTATGGGGTAATTGAACTTGAACGAATTATCTCCCTCAATGTAACTTCTAGGTTTATTTTATTAGTCAATGTCCTTCCATGTATCAGAACATTATACGTATACAAAAATGCGTCACGTTTAATCAAGTGAAAGGCATTTTTGGTTTTGGCGATTCGGATGTTATCGGTAAAATTGGTTTTCCTGCAGCTCAAGCCGCACCTGCCATTTCCAGTACATTCCCGTTTCTCTTTGGCAACAAAAAAGTACAATGCTTAGTGCCTTGCGCCATTGATCAAGATCCATATTTCCGAATGACTAGAGACGTTTCTCCAAGATTGGGCTATCCAAAATGCGCTCTTATTCATTCTAGTTTTTTCCCGGCTCTACAAGGTGCCAAATCAAAAATGTCGGCAAGTGAGCAAAATTCTGCAATATTTCTAACCGATACGTCCAAGCAGATAAAAAATAAAATCAATAAATATGCGTTCTCCGGTGGCCGTGATACCATAGAGGAGCATAGGGCCTTGGGTGGCGTACCCGAAATTGACGTCGCTTATCAATTGCTAAAGTTCTTTTTAGAAGATGACACGAAGCTAGAAGAGGTTCGAATAGCTTATAGCAAGGGCGAGATGTTAACTGGCGATTTAAAAAAATTAGCCATTGAGGTAAAATTTATTTATTTATTTGGATTTATTTATTAATTGTAAAAATGGTGAAATTAAATAATTTGCCTTTAGACCGTTGCACCAATTGTGGAACAGCATCAGGCTGCTCGTAAACTTGTTACCGATGATATATTGGATGAATTTATGAAAATTCGCCCTTTAAATTTCAGTGGAAGCAATTAAGTTAAATTAAATCCACTTACATAAAAGAGAGAGAGAGACAGAGAAAGAGAGATTGCTGATCACATTTAGGCTTGCGCGAGATAAAATTAATTGTTTATTAGTGAAGTTGAAATTATTATAAATTAATTATTGCATTTGCTTAAATATAAGTTTGAATTATGATAGGAGAACTTCTGTCTTTGTATGTATATTGTTTATCTACACTGAAGTCGGAATTGAATCAACATGTAATTTAAATGGAGACAATGAACTCGACTGTAAAGAGCCAACCTATCTTGGGCATTTGTACACATATTCAACATTATCGCTAAAGTCGTGTCAATCGTACGGTAGCTTAATTGCTAGAACATTTTCTATAAATAAGTTTTTATTAAATCTGGAATTATCTCAACCGAGGTTTTTCTTCTTTTGTTAAAAAAGACAAACATCACAGAATTATTGCTGATACTTGACTCATTACCATTAATTCATTTTCAACGTATGGCTTGAGACATATGGAGTGGGGTGACCATCAAGGTTAATTCGGCATCTTTAAGATTTGCTCCACGCAAGTTTGCCTCTTGCAAATCACTACCCGACAGATTACAACGTTCTAAATCGGCTCCGGCCAAAACTGCAGCCCGAAGATTACAATTCTTCATGTTTGCGTCTTTAAGGTTGGCTACTCGTAGATTAACTCCAGCCATATTAGAGCTTTCCAGACAGGCTCCTTTCAGATTAACACCCTCTAAATTAGTTCTTAAGCCCGAAGGATCTTCGAAATTGCAACCACGGAGATTGGCACCTTCCATATTTGCACATAAACCTTTCACCGATACTAGCTGAGAGCATTCTAGATTAGCAAATGCTAAATCAGTTCGCTCCAAGCAACAGTATGTTAGATTCGCGTGTGATAGATTACATCGTTGCATGCAGGCATACTAAAAATTTAATGAATTCATTTTTAGGCAAACGGTATAGATCGTTTGTGCATGTATATGCACATATGCATATATAAACCTTGAAATTTATATTCCTAAAATCTAATTTTCGCAAATCGGCTCCGGCTAAGTTAACACCCTGGAAACGCAACTCGGTTAAATGGGAAGTTTGTATCAGAGCTTTAATCACGTCTCGTCGCGTAAGAGGAACATTATCCAATGGTTGATTGGCTTGCATTATTTGACTCTCTAATTGGCTAACTAGACATTCAAGGCCAAAAAATTTCGCTTCTTCCAAAACACCTTCCAAACTCACATTAGGATCGACTATAAGCTGACCATGGCGAAGATAATTAATAATAGGTTCAAAATAATGAGGACTCCGATCTATCAAGTAAGCACCCTGTTCGTCTTGATTGCTGGGTAACATGGCACCATCTTGGGAAAACATGCGCGCCAACATACTCTCCGGTTCTTTACTTACAAGTGTCCATATAGTGGTTAAAAAAATTTTTCCACCAACATTAAGTTTTATCCATTTTGATGAAGGGAATGCTTTACTTGTCTCTGTCACTCCAGAATTTAACTCGGAGTTATTACTGGAATGCTCTGATGTACTAGTTGAATCTGTGTTTTTATTTTTTGGCAAATTTGAAATATTTGTGGATGTCTTATCAATTTCGAAATTCATTATTTATAAAGATTTTCTATGTGTATAAATTAAAAATGAAAGGAAGACACCCAACAAGAAAATTCGCAACTTTCTTGCAAGATTTTTGCTACCAGCTGGATTTATTTTTTATGATTTTATTACTGATAACGATTTGTAGAAACAGTCTGGCCACTCGATTTACTTTCGTTTTTCTCGTAAGGTAACACTTCTGTCGGAGGAGGCATTTTCAAAAAAGTTCATTGTTATGTTGTGTTACCAGAGATACGAGTGATGTATATATCTTTATAAATATTTTTTTGCGAATGAAAATTTCCAATTTAGAAGGATACTAGTATATGTTTGCTAGTTGGGTAAAAATGTTTGTTAAAGAAACGTGTGCAATTGCAAAAGATGGAAACAAGTGGGAATTTTCTAATTCTGTGGCTAATTTTATTAAGAAAGTTCGAGATGAAGATCGCCGAGTAAATGAATTGAAAAACCAAGAACTATTAGCTACTGCGGAAAATCCTCGCATAAAACGTCAAGAGGAAACAACTGAAATTTGCCAGGAGTTGAGAGACATAAAGCGAAATGAAATGTTGCAAGAAAGACGACGTAAGCAATTGCAATCCAACAGTCATGAGTTGCGACTGTTACAAGGACAAATTCGTTCGGCGAAGGTATCCCAAGAACTTATTGGCCAAAAGGAACGCCTTGAGAAACTAAAAAAAGAAGAGATGAGAAAAAAGCGCGAAGAAAATGATAAATGGGCGGAGAAGTGTGAGCAAGAGAGACGATTGGGTATAAAAGAGGCGGAAGAACAACGTCAATATAGAGTTGAATTTATGTCAGGATTGAAAGGACAAATTGCTGAACAACACCAGCGTCGCCTGAAAGAATACGAGGTTATATTGAAGGATCGTGAAGAAATCCAAAATCGTTTGCGGCAGATAAAGAATGAAGAAAAGGCCGAGAGGGAAGCTGCTCTCCGTTATCGTGATAAATGTAAGGTTGAAATGGATGAATGCATGCGCAACAAGATTTTGCAAAAGCAGCTAGAGAAACAAACGAGCAAAGACGATTTGTCGAAATTTTTAGCTTACAGCGATGAGCGTGAAGCATTGAAAAAACGAATTGAAGGGGAGAGAAAACGTTTACAAGAAGAAAGGCAGTCTTTAAGTGAACGCATTGGAGCGCAAATAGAACGCATTGAAAATGAAAGACAACATCGGGAAGAAGTTTTGCTTTCACTACTTATCGAAGAACGCAAGGCTAAGGAAGATGCAAGATTTCGTCATAATTTGGAGAAAACCAACGGAGAACGCTTGAGGCTACGATCTGAATTAGAAAATTATCGTGACTCAGTCAAGCCAGACACAGATGCTCAGCGAAAAGAAGAAGAACGCTTATTACATGAAGAGCGGATGCGTGTTCAAAGGAAGAACGATGAATTAGTTCGCTTAGCGGATGAACGACGTCGCAAAGAAATCATGGAACACACTAAAAGTTTACGAACTATTATTGATATCCGAAGACGCGAACGTGTCGAAGAGGCAATTGAGAAATTGCGCGAGTCTGAGCGCTTATTCGGATTACAAAAAGATATGTAAGGGAGGGCTGATTTTTACAAGCGAGAAAATATATTAAATTTTGTGTTTCGCTCTCTTTTTTATAGGGATAAAGAAATTGAAGAGGAACGTTTGCGATTGCTACGCTCTCAACCGCCGGAACTTTTGCGTTACTTACCAACGGGTGTAATACGTCCATCAGATCGCGAACTTTTAAATTTACCCGGCAGGAATGATTCTTAAAAAATCTTTGCAGTTTTATTTTTATACATTTATATTAGATATATTTTCTACAAGTGCAAGCTCTTTTACGTTTAAATATAATACGGAAGGGTGCGTTTATTACAAACATTTGAAAACGAACAATTGGATATTATACCTTCTATATTTCCTACCCTAGCAGAAAATATTAATTAATTACAAATTGTAGTTTTTTATATACAGTGACAATGTTTATAGGCGGATCATATTCATTTTTATATGCATGTGCTATTCGCAAATTCATTGAGTATTTTATCAATATATCCAAGGATCGCAAGTTCTTAGCTTATAGTGGGCTCATGATATCCATTTTTTGATTGAAGTCAAGGGCATTAATTAACAACGGTACGCTTCTTAAGATGAGCAGACGGAAATGGAATCACCGCTAGTCTAGCGTATACTTTATCGTGTTTATATACTTCCATCGGTCGATGATGCAGAATGCTTTTTAAAACCCCAAGCTATCATAAATAGTATTTAAAGACATATCCATGAAAATTTATTGTTATTATCGTTTATGCAAAATGCCATTTTTTGGTGGGGTTGCCTTTGCCACATCTTTCAATTAAAAATGTGTAAATTGTCAAAACGAAATGTCTTTGTTAGAGGTTTTTTTAAAACCTAATTTATAAATTGGGCGCGATTTCCTTCGATGCAAAGGAACAGGACTATTGTTTTTGTCGCGGAGAGAGTTTAAAGAAATCTTTCTTACGATCTAAGAGAGGAGTATTTGCATTTAGCAAAAATACGTGAGGGCATATATATGTTTATTCAATCGGACTACGAGCCCAATAAACAATTTCTTCTTCTTTCAGACAATTTATCAATGCTTGCCTAGGACAAATCTCTTAGATACCAATACGAATCGCCCAAAATTAATTCCGATCGATAGAACTAATTTTTGTTTTTTTTTTGAATGCTTTATAGAAATATACTACCCCCTTAATTTTTTGCTAATTAATGTAGTAAACCAGTACTTATATTAAGTTTAAGTTTATTAAATAATTAATCGAGTAATTAAAGCTATTAATTATGTAAAAAATACGAATACATTTTTCATTAAATACGATATTTTATATATTTTAAAGTTGGGTAGCAGTGCTAGTGTGCAGCATGTATTCCTAAATATCGTGAAAAAATATGTAATATTTTCGCGTATTCTCTTTTTGATGAATGACCGTTTCTTATTATAAATAAGAAGAAGACGAATGGTGAAGACAAGAAACGGACTACATCGAGTATTGCTAGAATTTTCAAGAAATTTATGTACATTGCTTAAAACTAAGAAAATATTACGAGATTTAATCAAAGGCGCGTTTAGCGTAGTTAAGTAAAGAATTCAGAATAACGATAGTAAAAGGTTTCCAAGAAGATGATAGCTTCAACGGAAAGGGGTCAACGGGGTATTAATCGCGTTTTGGCCAAATTGGAGCATTCGATTAACACGGGAAATTATTATGAAGCTCATCAAATGTATCGCACTTTATACTTTCGTTATATAGCTCAACGCAAATACTTTGAATGCATGGATTTATTGTACACCGGAGCACTTCGATTAGTTAGGAATGCACAAGAGCCCAGTGCTGCTGATTTGGGTTTACTTATTGTCGACACTCTAGAGAAAAGTGGTCATCGAACAAATATTGAGTTATGGATAGAGCGTTTCAGTGAGTTAATTGAAAATTTAAGCTCAACAACTGTGGAAAGAGAAACGCTGATTGTAAGTCCAAATTTTATGTTATCTAACTTTGAATAATTTTTATAATTTTCTTTATAAGAATCGTTGCATTAAGTGGAGCGGCGAGGTGTCCGGTCATAATTTAGGTCATCCAAGTTTGCATAAAAGAATAGCCAGGTTACTTTGGAGTGAAGGTAATACGGAGCAAGCACGCCATCATGTTTTGCTTTGTCGTGATGGAAATATGTGTGGTCGTTTTCTGGTCAAAATTAGTGAAAAGAAATCTTATACTAGTGAAGTGGATTTAATTATTGTACAGGCGGTGTTGCAGCAGCTTTGTCTTAAGGATCGCAAAACAGCCGAAGAAACTTTTACTACATACATACGGCAACATCCGGATATTAAACGCAAAGCGGCTCCTTATAAAGAGATTTTATTGAATTTCATCTACTTCTTATTTCTCTGCATTGACATTAATCGATCCGCAGCCTTTCGTTCGTTGTGCGATTTGTATAAACCATCATTGGACCGGGATCCCTCATTTCAGAAATATTTAGTAAAAATTGGAGTTTTATTTTTTGATATAAATCCATCACCAGCTAATAGTGGGGCTAACATGATGGGAGGTATGTTCGGTGATTTATTTTCAGGGCTCTTCCAAGGTTTCGACGATGATGACGAGAATAATGAATTACTACAAGAGCGCAGACATGGTGACGGTGACGGCTCTCATATAAGTCATGAACTAGATTAGCGTTTCGGATAGCAAAGCTTATTTGTATTTTGTTGCTAATTTTATATTCTCTAATTTATGTGCTAAGTTGACAATTTTGATTTGTTTATTTTACTTGGAAAGATGAATTGAAAAGATAAATTAAAGATATATAAAGCGCTATGAATCTTAAAAAGTAACTGGTTTAACGACTGAAGACGAATAATATTTAAATTAGGGGAATAATCATTGTGCTTGCATATGCTTTAAAATAGTTGCACGTTCATTGAGTTCTGCTAAGCAACAATAATGTAGTATATATATCATCGTATCCAACAAATTTTTTTTCCTTCTTTTTCGTATTTTTCTTCATTATCTACATTTATCAAGATTATTAAGCGAATTGCATGAAATATATCTTGCAATGAGTTTGCAAATCGAATTATATGTACTTCCTAAGGGTGTATAATTCTATGTTGAATTGATTTATACGATTTTTCTTCGATAATAATAAGATGATGGTGAAAAGTGGCAACTATTATAAAAAACAACAACTCAATTCGCGAAATGTCAAATTTCTAAATTTGACGTTTCTGCAAAATTACTAAAAAGGAAAGAATAATTTGCGATTTTCGACTGCTTTGTGTTATCAACGCTAAATAATTATTTATCATATAACAGTTTTCGATCAACAAATTCTCGTAACATTTTCAGGATTATCAAAATAAATAGATCGAAAAAGTAAAAAGTCATTTCTCGCCACAATTGTCAAAATATAAGTCTAAGAATTCAAAATTCGATAATAAAAATAGTACTTAATAGCGGAAAAAGAGAAAGAGAGAAGAATAGAAATATTGTAATTTGGGTTTTTTTTTTTCATAAGAGGTTCAAATAATTTGCATCATCGAATTAACGGAGGTACGATAGACAATTTCTATAAAATATATATATACATGTATATAAAATGCGAAGCCAATGAAAACAGCGACGTCAATGTTTATTTTCGAATACAAAATATTAAGTAGCCGAAGTGTCTAAGTGTGTTATAATGAGTGAGGAGGCGTCTGGTAGCAATACTATAACAACGAAAGCCATAATTGAGGCTCCATCATCTTCAACAAGTCGTGATATCGTACCTTCTGACAATACGTGTATTGAAGCTGTCGAGTCTACGGATGCGTTCTTTCGAAAAGAGGAAACCATTGAAGATATCAATGACAAACAGCTACATGTACAAGATGATGAGCCTGGAAGTTCACTTCAGGTTTTAAATCTAAATGAAATCGTTGTTCAGTCATCAGGCAGTAAACAACAGCCAGAGTCGCATCGGCAGGAGAGCGCGGATGGCGAACGTAGTTGTTGGATTTGCTTCGCTACGGACGAGGATAATGGTCTGGCTGCTTGGGTGCAACCATGCAAATGCCGAGGCTCTACGAAATGGGTCCATCAAAGTTGTCTATATCGTTGGGTGGATGAAAAACAGAA